AAGGAATCCCGTCAAATCTTCCCAATTTATGAATCTTAAAACATTTGTTAACATTTTGAAACATTTTGTTTATTGTCGAGACTTTTGACAAGGTAAAATAATTGTCGATATGACCAGGAGGGCTATTTTATGTCACACCTATTCGCCTTCTAAAAGCACACCGGTATCGTAATGGTTACCGAACGGTTTTACTTCTGAAGTGAACGTCTTTCCCAATATTCTATTTGGGCGCATACGTAACAGATACCCACATTATCTTGATTAAAACAATTACCATGTCATAGAGTACTTGACACGAAAGATTTGATCATGTACATGTATATGGTTTGCGGTATTCTATCCTAGTGACATACATGAAAAGTCCATGGTTGTAACCAATGAGCGACGAAACAAAGATGGCCAAAGAGATTTTAACTAAAATTATACACGCGGAACAATCGCAATTCCCCGTCTAATTCCTTTTTCAAATCTCGGATAAGGGCAATCGGCTTTGTGTTCTGAAAGACACAGGTACCGAGCAACTCATTAATAAAAAATAACATATAGAACAACATAACCTAATTATAATTCGTAACTATACTGGGACAATTTTGCTCGTAAATGACCAAAAAAAGTCCGGACTAATGTGAAGTTAAGAGCCGTTCAGGTTAACTTTGTGAACGTGATTAACACAAAATGTTTTGAGCGGACATGATAAAAATCCTTGAATATATAACGCGACATTCTTTTTTTGTAAAGTATCCCGAGATGGCACATAACTTTCTTAAACCAGAACATTTTTTAAAAAGCTCAAACAACCAAAAAAATCCTATGAAAATCTAGGAAATGCTCATACAATTTATCCATTATTTACTTTGAAGGATGTTAGGGCATATCAACACTGTCTGATGGCGTCTTTCACAGCTTTAGGAAATGCGTGTGTCCTTATCATGACCACATTATGAGTCTATTTCTTTAATAAAACGAGAAAGGCATGAACAGGTTGACTGGTTTCCCTAATTAAACCGCGCCAGTCCAAAATGTTCTTGCATGATCACTCTTTTACAAGGACAAACAAATGAGGAAAATCAGCGTAAAAAGTTCTGTATCAATTTTTAATAAAGATAATTTATTAAAGGGGAAACATTTGAATTGTACTCTTTTTAAGTCTATATTGGTTTCTCCCCTTGACTTGTGCACTAGGGTAACGAGACAATGATTAAATTTTTTATGCCATGTGAACGACCTAATTATGTAATGGAAACAACATGATATCTCGCGGTTCTCGTGGGAACGACTTACTATCTCGTGGTGTTTGTGGTAACGGCATATCGCCATATCTCGTGTTCTTTTGGGATTACATTATAATAGCTCGTGGTTCTCGCGTGAATGACATAATATTTTGTGGTAACGACATAATTACTTGTGGCTCTCATCCGAACACTATCTTTTTTCCAAGTTTCCATTCTTTTATTTAGTTTTTTTTTAGTTTTAGTATCTTCGGCACAATGGCAACTTTTAAACTTGTTTATGTGATCTGTTCTATCAGGAAACTAAATATAATGTTCCTCATTCAACAGTCAATTTTGGGACATCATGGCCAAATTACTTTCATAATATTTACACACAAAGAGGAGTACATGGGAGTCATGAAACTTAAAAGGGAGGTAGTCAGACTGTTTTCAATATATAAATCAATTTTTCTATTAAAACAGAAAATAATGAAATAATTGATTATACTAAATGCTTGATGTCGAAAGATTTTACTTCTGATCTGCTTGTTAGCAGTAGTTCCACTCTTGGCTAAATAGGTAGAATTATAGAACGACCTTTCTGGTTAATACTATTTCGAGTTAAAGCAGAAGGTAATGCACATTTGATTACCGTGACAATAAGATTTACATTGCTCGGTGGGGAATATCAGGCGTTCGGCACATTTGCCATGCCAAGGGACTGTAATTGCCGTATACTCAAAATAAGCTAAGGTACGCCCCTGATGGCCATAGAGATTCCAACTTTATACACGCGGAACACTCGTAATTTCTCATCTAATTCAATTAAACTTCGAATAAGGCCAATCGTCTTCGTGTTCTGAAAGACACGGGTACCGTGCAACTCATAATAAAAAATGATTAAACATATAAAACAACAGAAACTAAATATAATTTTAACTATATTGGGATCATTTTGCTCGTAAATGGCCAAAAAAGTCCGGACTAATGTGAAGTTAAGAGCCTTTCAGGTAAAATTTGTGAACGCGATTTACATAAAATGTTCGGAATGGACATCATAAAAAATCCATGAATAAAAAGAGACATTCTTTTTTTTCCAAAATATCCCGAGAAGGCATATTATAAGTAACGTTCTAAAACCAGACATATTTTTTAAAAAGCACAAACAAAAAAAGTCTTCTATAAATATCTAGGAAATGCTCATACAATTAATCCATTATTTACTTGGATGTTAAAGCATATCAAAGCTGTCTGATGGCGTACGTCCTTCCTAGCTTTAAGAAATGCGAGTGTCCTTATAAAAGGCTACCATGACCACATTATGAGTCTATTTCTTTAAAAGCATGAACAGGTTGACTGGTTTCCCTAATTAAACCGTAATAACAATGCATCGCCAGTCCAAAATGTTCTTGATCACTCTTTTACAAGGACAAATAAATGAGGAATATCAGCGTAAAAAGTTTTGTTTCATTTAAATGTATCAATTTTTAATAAAAAATAATTTATCAAAGGGGAAAAATTTGAATTGTACTATTTTTAAGTCTATATCGGTTTCTCCCCTTGACTTGCGCACTTTTTAAATTAAATCTGGGCAACGAGATAAGTATGTAATGGAAACAATATGATATCTCGTGGGAACGACTTACTATCTCGTGGTTCTTGTGGTAACGGCATATCGCCATATCTCGTATCCTCTTTGGACCACATATCTCTTGGGAATGATATAATAACTCGTGGTTCTCGCGTGAATGACATATTAATTGTGGGAACGACATAACTTGTGGCTCTCTTGGGAACAACATAATATCTCATGGGAACTGGTTATCGTGGGAACGACATACTACCTCTTGATTATCAAGGGAATAACATAATATCTCATGGGAAATGATTATCCTGTAAACGACATTCTACCTCTTGATTGTCGTGAGAACAACATAATACCTCGTGATTCTTATGGGAACGACATAATATTGTGGTTCTGGTGGAAACAACACATTATTTCATTGATCTCGTGGGAATAACATAATATCACAAGGATTTCATGAAGACGATTATTATCAAGCTATCATTCATGGACAATCTCAATCCAACCGATCCTCTGGCTTTTATCCAAGTTTCCTTTTTTTATTTATCTATTTTTTTTTGTTAGTTTCAGTATCTTAGGCAAAATGGCAACTTTTAAACTAACTAAATTATTGTTAATGTGATCTGTTCTATCAGGAAACTAAATATAATGTTCCTCATTCAACAGTCGAGAACATGGGAGTCATGAAACTGAAAAGGGAGGTAGTCAGAATTTTTTCAATATATAATTCAATTTTGCTAATCAAACAGAAAAATAATGAAATAATTGATTATACTAAATGCTTGATGTTAAAGTATTTTACTTATCTGCTTGTTTTCAGCAGTTCCACCCTTGACTCAATAGGTAGATTTTCCTCTTGTTACGTCTATTTATAGCACGACCATTTTTGGTCAATACTATTTCAGGTACTCCATGATAATATTTTCATTGCTGGGTGGAATATTTGACAGTTATGTAAAGACAAACAGGCTTCTATAAAGGACTTAAAGGTACATGTATAGGGGTCAGGAAAAAATATTATTGTGATATGTATAAATTAACCAGTGCATGTTGCCTGTTTCTTTAAAAGGACTTTGATATAAAATCCTTTAAATTTACAAGATAGTTCAAGCTTTAAAGCAGTATATGGTAATTCTATTTTATACGAATTTATATTGAACAGGTCGAAGGTCAATTATTGTTGTGACTGTACAAGAGGTCACAGTGGGTCGATAGGGTTTACTTGAGTTAGTAGATAACTAAAAAGTTCCAAAGAACAGGATCAATTTTGAGCCAAGCCTTATGGTTTAAATATTTTTGAAAAGGCCCACCAGACAATGTTGTATACATGTACCAAGTATTATACATGTACCAAGTATCTTAACATAAGATCTTTAGTTTCAACCGAACGTTTATTTTACATGTATACATTGTTTATGATATCAGGCTGCAACACTAACTTTTTAGCAGGTGGTAAGCCAGACCACTGGATTTGAAATTCAGGTGGTCATTCTGGCAGTCATCATATTTTTTTTATATGCATTTAAAAAAAATCGATTTAGAAAAATATACAATTAAAATTGACAGATATTAAGAATTAAAGAAAACAAATATCTTATATATATATATATATATATATTCCTCAACCAGTACTATCAGAAGTTAACGAGAGCAAGTCAGTAGGGTTTCTGTTGTATTGTTATTTAGTTGTTTTTCTGTCTCATTTAAGAATACATGATAACTGCTTTTCTATTAACAAAAATGTAAACAAAATAATTCCTACATCATGGTTGAGCTTATTTTCCTCACAGAAATATTATATGGAAATTTTTAACTCCCAGTTGCTTGTTTGTTGATATTTTTTAGCCTGTTAAAGAAAAAATGAATCTCTGTTGAAATAAAGATAAATAGCAAAAAAGTACAATATTTATTTTGTCCTTACTGCCATTAAAGTTTATTTGATACCCCATAGTATGTAATAAATTAAATGCAGTACTAGCGTCATTTCAATGAATTTTCTACCTTAATTTTTTAAATCAATTTTTTTTGGCCTTAATATCGAGGTGGTTTTAATTGTGAGTAGTATACCGTACAATGTTTCATTTTAGACTTTTAAAAAGACTATAAGCCACAATAATAGCAGACGTTTGCTACCAGGATAGAGCCAAACCTGCCTGACCATTGCAGGCTCCTCAAATTTATATATTAGTTTGATACTCTACTCATTGTTCTCTGAAATGAACTGGTCCAAATTCAAACTAGGCAAGTCAATAACACAAATTATTGGGTGAAGTATGTGCCAAAAATAGTTAACTAAGCAAGGCTTTGGTATTTCTTTTGTAGTTTTTTTCTTATTTTTATTTGCTTTTGTTTTCTGTCAAAATTACAATTGTTTGCCAGTGATGCAATTTTCCATACTTAAGAAATGCTGCTTTAACCTTCACCTTGCTGTAGACACCTGACCCTATGTTCACTTAGAAAAGATTGTTCTATAAAACTAAAATTGATTGTTTTAAAAAATTAAAATTGATTGTATTTTGCGAAAATTAAATGGTACAAATTAAACAAAATATAAACAAAATTGCTGATTTGCAAAGAAACAACCCTATCTTAAGACAAGAGGGCCATGATGGCCCTGAAGTCACTCACCTGTATATAGGCCCCCCGGAGCGGGGCCAGTTTAAACCCCAGGGCTTTTATTTGAACAAACTTGGTAGACACCCATTAGAAGATGTTTCGTGCTAAACATCTGAGGTCTAGCTCGTTGGGTTTTTCAAAAGAAGATTTTTTAAGTTTTTTCTTTACACATATATTTAAAAACAATGACACCCCTGGTGCAGGGCCAGTTTTGACTCCAGGCCTTTTATTTGAACAATCTTTGTAGACACTTACTAGAAGATGTTTCATGCTTAATATCTAAACTCTAGCTATTTGGGTTTTTTCGAAGAAGATTTTTAAGCTTTTGCTATACACATATAAGGAAAATCAATGTCCCCCGGGGCGGGGCCAATTTTGACCCAAGGGCTCTTATTTGACCAAAATTGGTAGACATCCACTAGAAGATGTTTCATGCTAAATATCTTAGCTCTAGCTCTTTGGGTTCTTTAAAAGAAGATTTTTTAAGTTTTTACTATATACATATAGGGAAAATCAATGACCCCCTTGGGTTTTTTAGAAGAAGATATTTAAAGTTTTTTCTTTTGGTTGCCATGGCAACCAGAGTTCTGCATGGAATTTAATTCTTTGAACAATTTTCAAAGGTGACCACCAAAGGAACATTCCTGTGAAGTTTGGATGAAATTGGCTTAGTGGTTTATGAGGATATGTCATTTAAAGTAAAAGTTTACGGACGGACAGACGCCGGACGAAAAGCGATCACAAAAGCTCACCCTGTCACAAAGTGACAGGTGAGCTAATAAAACTGACCAAAAACATAACAAATACATGCATACAAAAACAATCAAATCAAAATAAAGATCAATCAATATTTGAATCAAATGTATAATGCCAATATCTTGTAAAATAACAACAAGTTTATTCTAAAATATTATAAGCATGCTATTTTAATTTCAAATTTATCAAGTTAATATACAATATTTTATATATGAGGATAATCAATGGAAAAATTTTTAAACAGATTAAAAATTGAAAGAATTATTGCGTAACAAAATGATAAATTAGAAGAATTTGAAAATTGCTGGATAAATCTAATTGAATTGTTTGACATCTAAATAGTACATGCAGAGAAAAATGTTACCAAAGCAGTTTATTTACTCTTTTCTTTTCATCATTTTTGCCCCTTTTCTTGTGTAATTGTGTAAATGAAAGGACCTCTTAACTTTAAAATGTCTTATATATTCTGATATAATACCCGACAAAAAACATAACAAAACAAATTTTTTTTTAGTTATCTACATATCAATGTAAATGCTAAAGTTATCATGGTTTGTATTCTCGTATTATTTTTCATAAATAAATGGGCCAAAAAAACAACAAAAAAGGAAAATATTCAAGTTTTTATCCTGATTGTTAAATCTTAGTGACCATGGGGGCTGAATCTACCAATCCAAACAGTGCAGATCATGGAAAATGGGGACATCCTCACAGTCCTCACTGTTTGCTATTTAGTCAGTACATTTTTGAAAAATTTTCCCTAAAAATGATAGTCTTGTCCATATTATTTTCCATTAAAGATTTGTGACAGATATTACGGAGTGCTTGCTACTTGACCAATCTTTCTTTTTTTTCTCTAATAAAGGAAGTTTGCCGTATTGTAATATATTATATGGCAAAGGTTATATGGCACTATATAAATGGTTGTTTGCATATATAACCTGAGCCACTTGACAAGGGTAATATTGCAAACCACCATTTATATGTGGCCATATAACCAGTCGAGAATCTTTATACATCAAATGTTCACAATAAATGTCATACAGATACATTCCTGATATATACAATGTATGCCTGAATGGACGGCTTCTATGACCAAGTGGTTTTGGATTGTTGACTTTCATCGACTTGCCACAGACAGCTATTGGTTCCAATCCCACCTGCAACTTTGAATTCCCTCATGTGAGGAAGTTATCCAGCTTGCAGAATGTCAGTGGTTCTACTCCGGTATGAGATTCACAAGTAAAGCTGGTAATTCACTATATGAGGACTTGAAACCCAAAACAAACAAACAAAATTTCCCTGATAAATCAATGAGATACCCTTGTCATATCAACTCTGTCTTTATCTCTATCAGACATATAAAGTAACAAAATAATGTGATTTTTAACATCTCAAGCTGAATTGATTATATGTAATTTACTTGAAGGCATAATATATTTGGTTATCTAGATATGATAATATATTATTTGTGAGTTTTATACATTGCATGATAAAAAATTACAAACAATAGTACACAACTATTTGTCATGAGACAGAGGAATTCTTCCCTTCTACACCAAAGTACATTTGGAATATGTGTCCAGATCCATGACTTTCTAAAAATTCGTAAAATTTTCCTAAGTCCATGTGATATTCACGTCCCTTACCACCACGGACATCAAACACTTTCTCCTCAAAGTTGGCGAACTTTCTATGTTTACTTAAATCATCATTTCCGATATCAGTTTCTTCCTTTTCCTTAACCATGAGTCGTTTCCAATTTAATCGTCTCAGTCTATGCCAGTATTCATCAACAGGTCTGCTGTAACCTTCAACACAAGCAACACCAGGCTTGCCTGGTAAACTAAAACCAGTCAATTTCAACTCTTCCGCCCAGTCTATAATATCACGTCTTTTAAACTTACTATAAATATGGTGACTATAAATCCACAGCCTCGTAAATATTGTATCTTCCTCAACTTGAGGTTTTTGCGAGCTTTCACTAACATCAGATTCAGTGTTATATTTATGAAGGTTTTCTTGTATCCACTCTATTACGCTATATAAACATATTTCACCACGTTCAATACTGACAATAAAATTCTGCAAGTCTTCATTCAATCTTCTGTGGTCACTGCGACTCATTTTCGGAGCTCTTGTGAAAACAACAGGGGCAACACTCGGGTACTCATGAGGAAGTTGGCAAACTAGCTCCATGGTTACCTAGAAACATATATTTATGCATATATACATTACAATATACAAACAAGAGCACCACATGCAGTGTTAATACTTCTCTCTCTAAATTTACTATTAAATTTTGACTAAAATTTTAAATTAAAAAGTGGCATATCTCCAAAATAATAGCTTTTAAAATAATGCCCCAAGAAAAGCAAGTATTTCAAGTTTTATGATGATTACTTTAAATAATGGGCTACATGAAAGTTTTTGCAATATGACAAAGACAATTACAACAACAACACTGCTATCATAATAGCTTGCCCATTTTCTTAGAAACAGACAAGCTAAATTGTTGATTTTTTTAATTCAAATAATGAAATATGTTAATGAAGTATTTTCAGTACAAATTTCACCTTACTTTACCGAGCTAAAAAAATATTTCAAGACAAACTTAGTACATTTTGTACCATAAGAATAAAAAAAAGTTACAGCCAGTTACAGCCAAAAAAATGAAAATTTCAATAATTTGACCTTCAAAGTCAAGGTCATTTATGAGTGAAGGTCAAGGTCTGTCTGATTAATTTAAAGAGCTATCCTTGAAGATTATTATGTTCAAGTTTGAAGACAATCCAAGTTATAGCCGATAATAGCAAGAACAAGCAAAATTTGGGCATTTGACCTTGAAGGTCATTTATGGATGAAGAGCAAGGTTAGTCTGGACAACTGAAAGGTCTTGTCCCAAGAGTTGTTGTGGCCAAGTATGAAGACAATACACCGAGAGCTTAAAAAGTTACGATCAAAGAACAAGTTTGCGGACGGCAATGCCGCCAGGACTATCACCATTCCTCTACTTTTTAAAAAAAAATCGAGCTAAAAAGGGACCCATGTCCATACTGTTCCATTTAATTGAGTGAAATGCATTCATAAATATCTTCTTTATTTATTAAGATACAAACAAATCTTTCCTTAACACTCAAAGTTTACCTCACTATCTTCAGGTGCTATTTTTATTGCAAAACCAAGTCTTGAATGCAAATACTCGTATTTTATCTTTCCTTCTACAAATGCTTTTATCTTTACAAGAGCTGTAGCGTCATCAAGTTTGATCTCCCCTGCGTTTGAGAACATACTTTGTAACATTTCATACTCGGACAATTGTAGCTCTAGCATATCTAAAACATTCACACCAGATTCTTCCATATCCTCGTCTACATCTTCGATTTCTGTGTTAGGTTTGTCCATCACTTTTATTTGGGTTTGCTGCAAGAATGGATGGTTTGCTGCAAGAATGGATGAATAAATATAAAAGTTATAGTGTCATTTACTCTGTTACCTTAAAGGCACATTAGAAATGAATAAATATTCTCATGTTTAAAAAGGGCAAACATGAGTTTTAAAATGTTATGGTTTTAGAGAATGTCTGATACTTAAATATTACCTGACAAAAGTAGTGCTGAATGTGAAATAATTTTCATTGAAGTAGCAAAATGTAAACAAAGTACTTAGCATTTTGACTTCCATTCACTACAACTATATTGATTGACGAGTGCAACAGAATCAAAAGATGTTTTAGACATTTGACCAATTTGGAAACTATAGCAGGACACCAAAAAATAAGGAATTAAAATTTTAAGCATTTCTGGGTCATAATGGGCCATTAGAAGAAAATGGGTTTTGACCTAAAAAAAAGATTTGTCATGGCGAAGCCAGACTACTGGTCCAATATATCAGACGTTATGGGCTTGTTATATTTTCTGTCGGTCAAGTCTGAGAAGCTTGCCAAGAAGCAAAAATATCTCAAAAGCAACCTCATATTTATAGGAATAGTCCCAAACCAGTAGCCTGAAATGACGAGCCACATCACGACAAAACCAACATACATGTAATGGGTTTGCGACGAGCATCCGCACAGTCTGATCAGGATCCATGCTGTTCGCTATCAGTTTCTTTACTTATTATAGGGTCTGTAAGCGAACAGCATGGATCCTGATCAGACTGCGCGGATTCACAGGCTGGTCTCGATCCATGCTGGTCGCAAACCCATTATGTTGGTTTTGTCGTGACGCGGCTCATATGTCACATACAAAATATACAAGTCATGTCCTTTCTAGTTTCAGGGAATAGTTCTTTGGCAAAGTGGTCTCTTTAGTGACTTACAAGTCTGTTTCCTGGAACTAATCAGTACTGGTGTCATATTTAAATTCACAGTGATGACCATTGTATAGCTCAAATTTTTTTTTGGCAACATCATAATTATATAACTTCATTAGAAGACCATTAAGCAATGCCACATGTGCCAAGTCAATTTTTCACAAAAAAATATTTAAATGTCTTTTCAAATGAAGTCTATGAAAACTTTATAACCCCATGGGCACAGTTATTTAGATCCTGTGGGGTAAGAGTTATGTAGATTTAAAACACACCAAACAAACGAATGCTTTTTGCCAGAAATGAGTGCATAGGGCCACGGACTTTAATTCCGTGATAGGGCAAATGTTTAAAAATTGAAACAGATATTTACAGAAATTCCCACACAAGTTATTTAATGTTCATGCAAAGTAAATTATAAAAGGAAGGAATTACAATAAAATTTAAACTTATTTTTCTAGCAGCTGGGCCTCTACGGTCTCAGGGTTAAACAACACAATAGGGTTCTTGCTAGATATTTATTCGGTGTAGTATTAATATAAATAACACAAAACAGAAATGGGCCTGAAAAGAAAATAAGGCATCATAAATATATTACAACAATATCATTGATTTATATCAATATTAAATAAATCAATTTAAATAAGAATCTACATGTACTTATTTAAATATGATTAATTACTCTTTATACAAACATTATAAATATTACTTGTAAATC